TATGTAGAAGGTTGGAAGATGAATGTGTGACAGTCTCAGCCCCGGGGGACGGAGGTGTGGTGATGCGGAGCCACCCCTCAACCTGCGGCCCCCGGTATACAGATACAGGACGGGCCGGGCGACGTAAATACGGCGGCGGACGCAGCTTTCACCGCGTGTGAATGCGCCTCCCGGAAGGTGACGGTGAAATGACCGGAATGTCTAATTGAATAGAATGTAACCACATCCAGATCCACCGGCCCGGCACTCACATTGACTTCGGTGACGGCGATGTCCACCAGGCTCCCCACCACGATGAGAGCATCGAACGTGTTCCAGGCGTCACAGAAATAATGCTGAGAAGAGATGGAAGAGGCGCGGCGGCGCGTTACAAGGAATCGTAATAACAATAAACGCGGTGACCTGAACATTCAACAAACCTGATATTTAAAGTCCAACAGAACCGAAACAATCACCTCAATACATTACAACTGAAGGAGTGCAAAGTCTGACATATTGTTCTATTTAGGGAGCAGCCACAGCCAGAATGGAAAAGCCCGCCCCCTGCCAGCGTGCTGTAAATAGAGGACCGTGGCTCTGTGTGTGGAAGCAGCGCTCTCTCTGCAGAGGTCTGACACACCCCCTTGCTAAGCCAGGGCTCTCCAATCAGCAGGGAGAATGAGCGTGGCTGATTGATCAGCTCTGACTCAGCCGGGGGGAGGAGAAGGTGAGACCACTGCTTCCACACAGTTCTTATTCTGTATGTAGGGACTGTACACAGTACCATTTCTCTTGTCCTGTATGCCGGGTGTCATTCTCGGTATCTGTTCTTATTCTATATGTATGGACTCTGCACAGTACCACTTCTCTTGTCCTGTATGCCGGGTGTCATTCTCGGTATCTGTTCCGTATGTATGGACTCTGCACAGTATTTCTTCTCCCTTTCTAAATATAAGCAAGCTACAAATATAGTCCTTGTATGCGGTGAGAAAAAAAATCAGGTGAAGGTCACGCCCCCTCGAATAAGCCACACCCCTAGAATAAGCTACACCCCCTAGAATAAGCCACGCCCGCTCAACCCAATCTATCTTTTTAGTGGAAAGGTGGCAGAGGATCACAAAAAGCTGATGTATAATCAGATGAAACCTCAGCATCACCCGCATTGTAACACAGCTGAGTATCTACTTATTGATTGCAGCTGCCCCCTACTGGCTGTCAGGTGGTACTGCACCTACAGTGGAAATTTATATTCCTGAACATTTTCCCCAATCTGCGCCGGGCTTGGCTGAATAATGGCGCGGCAATGGTAAGGCTGCTTGTTAGACAGTCTGTCTGTATGCTGCAGGAGCCACATATTATATATTCCCGCATCGCTTCTCGGCCTTTTGGCTAAGATCAAGTATAGTGTCTGTACTTATCAGTGGCGGGAGGGGAAAGGAGCCGCTGTACTGGTCTTTTGGCTAGTATGGTTGGTCTCTGAGTACCCTGCCTGGTGACCGGGGTTCCTAAAAGCCCCGGCAATGGGGAGGAAACCGAATGAGCGTCCACTCACGTAAGAGTGGGGTGGGGGGGGGAGTCGGGAGTACTCCTCGGCGCTGGGTTCTGGCAGGGCCCAGTACCTCCTGATTTGGACGGGTCTACCTTGTCTGGCCATGGGCTTGGAGGGCACGAAGCCTGTGGTACTGTGCCCCCTGAGAGTGGCGTCTCAAGGGAGTGCCGGAAAGTCACTTGGGTTTGGGACGCCACTTGATTTACCAGCACCAGTGGCGTCACAAGGGGGGTGCGGCCCACCAAAGGGGGGTGGAGGGGTGACACCCCGTCACAAGGGTGGGTGGAGGGGTGACAGCAAAATTACTGACAGTCATGTTGCTGTCACCCCTTATGAAATGTCGGGCACTTGGTCACGGGCCGAGAGCCCGACAGTGTCAGGAGAGAGGAGGGGACCCGGCGGCATACCTCATCCCGCCGGGTGACTGTCCCCTCCTCTCTCTGCCGGCATCCATCACCAAGATGGCCGCCGGCAGGCGTCAAAAAGAACACTGCGCACGCTCGATGGCGTCTTCGCGCATGCGCGGCAACATCGCGTGCGTGATGACGTCACGGCGGGGTGTCACCCGGTCCCCGCCCCCGGGTGAGACCCACCCTCGGGACGCCACTGCTCT